CCGAAACGTCGTGAGAATTATTTTATTATGTTTTATTTTTTATTATTTTATTATTTCCCTTCTACGTGACTTTACCGAAAGAACCAAGAAGACGACGACCACTGTTGATGTAATCCTAGTGAGCACTGAAGGGATGATTGATGATGATGATGGGCTGAGTCAACCGCGGACCAGGAATTTAACTAATCACCTTCCAAGTGAGTGGGCAGTCTAAGCAGAACTCCGTAAGAATATTAACCTTTTAATGGAAAAGCATAAATAGTACGGACAATCATCATCATGACCACCATCATCCGTGATCTATCAACAGCTGGATGAAGACCTCCTTAAGTCATATCTCATGGTCCCACAATGCCATACATGACCCATCTTGCTTCGTGGACATGACATACAGTACATGTACATCCCTTGTGCCAATCCACTGATGGATGAAGGTCTCCCCACGCCGTGCCGGCCGTGGGCGCTATTTGACCATACTTCACCATGCTGGTCAGTGCCAGTTGTTGAAGGTAAGGGGCATAGACGTGGGAACATCGAAGTACAGTACAGTACCAACATGGATTTTCCTGCACTGCCCTCTGCTGATAACATAACTCCAGAGCAGCTTCTAACACCTGCGTGCATGCTGGCCGCCCATCAATTCCCTACCCAGGCTGAAAATCTGCTTAGCTTCCGAGATCTGAGTAGATTGGATGGATCCCGGTTTCTGTGGTGGTCACGCAGCACAGCCCAGCCACCAATTGTTTCTGACAAAACAGTCGTCGGTCTGGCCTAAATATACAATAACCATAACAGTTGCAACTTATAACTCGCCGCTGGACAGTTTTCCGATCACTCTTGAGACAGAACGGCTCAGAGGCGCGAGGAGAAACCACAGTCAAGCGGTGAGCCGGGAGCAAATCCCCCCACACCAAGCTCTGCGGTCCTATATATATAGTGTTATCATTTCGATTTAAAGCTTTCGTGACTGTAGGGATTCATCTTCTTGGTTCTTTCGGTAAAGTCACGTAGAATGGAAATAATAAAATAATAAACATAAAACATAATAAAATTATTCTGACGACGTTTCGGCCACAACGCAAGCAGCCGTCCTCAGGTGGAGAACAGGTCTGTCGAGAAGACGGAGTCTTCAGACTCCGTCTTCTCGACACCTGAGGACGACTGCTTGCGTTGTGGCCGAAACGTCGTAAGAATTATTTTATTATGTTTTATTTTTATTATTTTATTATTTCCATTCTACGTGACTTTACCGAAAGAACCAAGAAGATATAGTGTTATCAGTTAAGCAATGCGATATATGGTCAGAAACCGGTGCACCTGGAGAAAACCCACGTGTGCTAGGGGAGAAACATGTTGTCCCATACACATGGGACAGGTGGATAGCGCAAGCCGGAGTATGGCACGCGCTCGACGCCCATGGAAAGGGAGTGTCTCAACATTTGTGTGATCCACAGACCCTCGCTGCTGCCTCCAAGGCGCTGGACTACAGGGCGTGCATGGCCACCATCCGCCGGGAGGCAAACTGTGACAATGAGTGACGCCTCTCCTGCATTGTACGGAGAAAGGAGAAGTGGAGAGGTAGTGACAATGTGAGTGTGAGTGTGGTGAAGCCATCCCCTCACTGTCTGCGGGAAACCACTTTGTGGATAGGGGGAGGGATTGGATGTTCACAAATCTCCACTGAGCCCCACGACGCTGGGTGTGTCGTTCCAGTGAATGTGACCCAGGCTATGCGCTGCATCTGCCAATCATCTCGGTCAACCCATGCGGCGCCTGGGCCTGTCCCGTGACCTCCTGCCAGCAGCGAGCCTTCGACACTTCTTAAACCTGGCATCAAGGTGCATCTAGCATGGCACAAGCGCCGCGTGGTGAGGTCACCGCCACTTAGTGGCGAATGGCGGTTGTCGTGTAGGGTTGCCACCTGTCCTGGCTTTCCCAGGGACGTCCTATTGTCTTAGTTGGCTGACCTGGGAAAAATCCAAGACATTAATGTCCCGGTTTTTGTCAGTTTTATAATATTCCAGCGGTTCTCCCCCTATTCTGTAAATGTGATATTCTTTTCCCCATATATTCAGGTTTTTTTGTACCATAGAGGCGGCGATCCTAGATTTTTTGTTACACGTGTTTTCGTATTGCGGTTCTTTAACACACGAATACAGGGTAATCCAATTAACTACTATAATGACTTAAAGCTTTCGTGACTGCAGGCCTGGCCACCATCCTCCTTAGGCCCCGCTCTTTCCTCCTTAGGCCCCACTTCTTCCTGATCGGGACCCGCCCCTTCTTAAATAGGCCCCGCCTCCTATTTAGGTGCTGGAAGGAGTGGTGAGTGGGCATGCAACAGTGGTAGTGGTGAGGGTGGTGGAAGGAGTGGGGAGTGGGCATGCAACAGTGGTAGTGGTGAGGGTGGTGGAAGGAGTGGGGAGTGGGCATGCAACAGTGGTAGTGGTGAGGGTGGTGGAAGGAGTGGGGAGTGGGCATGCAACAGTGGTAGTGGTGGGGGTGGTGGAAGGAGTGGGGAGTGGGCATGCAACAGTGGTAGTGGTGGGGGTGGTGGAAGGAGTGGTGAGTGGGCATGCAACAGTGGTAGTGGTGGGGGTGGTGGAGGAGTGGGGAGTGGGCATGCAACAGTGGTAGTGGTGGGGGTGGTGGAAGGAGTGGGGAGTGGGCATGCAACAGTGGTAGTGATGGGGGTGGTGGAAGGAGTGGGGAGTGGGCATGCAACAGTGGTAGTGGTGGGGGTGGTGGAGGAGTGGGCAGTGCTCATGCAACAGTGGTAGTGGTGTGTTGGAGACATTGGATGTTAAGGGCGTGGCGGCTTCACGGCCAAAGTTTCTTCTTAGAGCAGCAATATAATTACAGACCACGATGAGGAATGTACCGCAAGCAGAACGTTTTCAAATCAGTGCACATGCCTTGCTATGACATATAGATCTTAAAAATAACGTGGAACAAATCTGGCTCACCTAGAGTGTACAGTAATCAAGTCAGCATTGCTTCGACCCTGTAATTTGTTTTACTTCGATTGCGATTATCATCTCTATCCAATAAGCATGCTAAAAAACTGGGCCAACGTTCCATGTCCACTGGGTTGTTCCATTTCTTTGTTTCATGTGGGACGCGGTATCTATTAATGTACTGAATGAGTTCACACTTTTCGTCATCTGCTTTATCGCTGAGGCTCTACTTGCCCATTCGCCTGCGTGCCATAGGTGGAAAAAACCCGATTTTTCCAGCGGCAGGCATCGGGTTTTTTCTTTAATACAATTAAACCCGATTTCGGGTAATTAAAACCTGGTTTATTGAATACGAAACTCTGATAGGATTAGGCTGCTTCCTCGTCGGTGCTGCTATCGTACTCGGGGCCATCGGGCACGGGGTAGTCGTAAAATGCGGCGGGCAGGTTTGTCTTGATGAATACGAGCTTCTCCTCCACAATCGTGGGCGCCAGTGAGTTCCTTAGCTTGGAATGGATGAAGCCCATCGTTGAGAAATGCGGTTCTGCAATTAAAACCAATTAAACCGGATTTCTCCCAATCTCAGATGATCGGGTTTACTATAAAAAGACAATTAAACCCGATTGTAAAAAAACCCGACTGTGCCAACCTTGCTGCGTGCAGAGTTCCCGGATCTCATGGGTCAACAACATCTGGGAAAACCAGGCCAACCCTGCTGGCTGCCTTACGGATCCATTCACCGCCGGCTTCACCCAGGCTTGGGTTGTGCAAGCTCACTGGGAACGCACGTACACTTTGAACAACACCGCCGAACGAATGACGCTTCGAGCGCACGCAATAACGCACGTTTCGTGTCACACACTCCACTGACAATAATAACAACAACAAATACAAACACCCCAAATCCCCCCGCACCTCCCGGTGTAGTCTTGATAATACTTTTGGGACAAGTGGCTGTTATAAGGGGGCACCTATGCAGGTCGGAACGACACAGATTGGGGGGGTGGGTCGGTCAACACCACACGCGGCCGTCTGTGTCTACCCAGTGCTGACATTTACACGCCACACCATTTAATGTTGAGTCGACCTAGGGGTGGCCCACGGTTTACATATTCGTCAACGTTATTGGCTGTGAACGGGAATCGAACTCGGGTGGCGCATTGCTGCCAACCACTGCGCCACCGCTCTCCACTAACAAATCCAAAGATCCCCGGGTAGCCTGAACAGACTGTTGGGGCAAGTGCTGTTAGCGAGCACCTGTGAGGCCGGCACGTGGGGCACGAGGTGGGTGGCCAACACACACGAGAGCACAGTGATCACGGTACACGTGCACTGAGTGGCGGTGACGTCATCCCAGCGTTTGTGCCAGGCTAGGTGCACCTTGAGGCCAAGTGAACTGTCGAAGGCTCTGTTCACTGTAGATCACGGAGCAGACCCAGGCGCTTATGGGTTGACTGAAATGACGAGCAGATACACCACCACCTGTGCTCCCTACTTTGCCACATTGCAGCGTTATAGCCGCACCAAGCTCCTCCGCGTTGTGTTGTGAGCGTGGCTCCTCTTGCTCGCTGTTGTTCGCGTTGTTGTCGTTGGAGAGCGACTGCCTCCGACTGCCCCATTTCGCGTCCTTTGCGAGTCGCCTTTCGCAGAAGGCCGAACTTGACACCACCGCTGGTACCAATCATCGGGACAGCAAATACTCGCAGACAGACAGACACTCACTCACATGGCACTAATCCCACCAACACCCCCCTCGCCCCTCCCCTTGACCCCTCCCCTCTTCCCCCTCCCCCCCTTCGCCCCTCTCCCCCCTTTCGCTCCCCCTCCCCTCGACCCCCCTCGACCCCCCCTACCCCTCGCCCCCCACACCCCTCGCCCCCCACCCCTCGTCCCCCCACCCCTTGCCCCCCCCCACCCCTCGCCCCCCCCCACCCCTCGCCCCCCCCACCCTCACCCCCCCTCCCCTCGCCCCCCCTCCCCTCGCTCCCCCTCCCCTCGCCCCCCTCCCCTCGCCCCCCTCCCGCGCGCATGCGCACTGCGCCTCCCCGCCCGTCAGCCGCCATCTTCGCGCGGCCGTTCGTTTGGTTGTGGCCGCCTCAGCTCGCGCGGTGGTCGACGACTCCTCTGCATCCTCCCTCGTCGTCGTTGTCGTCCTCCTTCTCTCCGCGAGTTCCTCTCGCTTACCGCCACGCATCTCTCGTTCTCCTCGGAAGAACCTCGCCCCGCCTCCGCGAAGCAATGAGACGCGGCCGAGTGTAGCCGCGGCGTCCGTTCCCGCCTCCCGCGCGCGCTTCCTCATTGTTTCTCCTTCGATCTGCCGGCGGCGCGCACAGCAAAGCAACAGGTGCCGCTTCCCCCTCCTTCTCGCCGCTGCGCCACGTGTCTATTTCTCGTCGCCGTGTCATCGTTTCGGTTAGCGCTTTGTTGCTTGCGAGCCGCGACGCTATCGTTCTTGCTTCGCGTTCCCCCGAGGTTGGGGCCTAGCTCTCCGCGGAGCTTACGGCTTTGCCTGAGTTGGCTGCCGCCTAAGATGCTTCGGGTTCCGCGGACGGCGCCAGCCGATGTGGGGAGGCGAGAAAGCAACCTAGGCCCGATATGGGGTTGTTCCTACAGCAGTAGACTGTTTTTGTTGTTGTTGAGGTAATTGTGAATGATTTTAGACTGTTTTGGCTCAGGTGTTGTGAATGTGTACGTGATTAATGTATTGCGTGTTTGAGACGGATATTCCTCGTAATGCATGCACTAATGCAGTCACGTGTGCATATACGAACACATGCTACAAAATGCATTAACACTGTACAGTACTCACAAACTACCAAAGCACTAATACCACACGTATAAAAACACACTGCTAACGCGTTAGTACACAATCTAACATCTGACATTGGTAGCTCCCGAACATAATATAACACGAACTACAAATAACACGCATTACTAACACAACAACACTGGCATTCACATTTGGAACGTAAAGGTACACATTCTGTCAAATACAAGAACACAACACATACACATTGCCATACACCAACACATTACTTTATAGACAGGCAGCCCGACCAGTTCTCTGTTATTGGAGCAGTGATCGTTCGAAATATATTGATTTGTTAGTCGTCTCGTTTACATTGTAATTTTCATACAAGTAAACATGTCTGCACGGTTACGTGTCCTAGTTAATGTCTCATATCTAATGTGCCGTAGCTAATACATAGCTAATATGTCAATATAAAGTGTGCCATAGCTAATATGTCAGCTGCACTGGTCATAGCTAAGAGTCATATGGAATGTATGACATAGCTAATGTGACATCTAACGTGTAATAGCTAATATAGCCATAACTAATTTGGCAGTTAACGTACCATAGCTAAGATCGAAAACATTTCATGTGGCATAGCTAATGTTTGTCACAGCTAGCGTTATACCTTCTCTGTAGTTAATATGGCACTTGATGTGTCAAACTGTTAGAGGTACCAGGTCATCGCTATTGGGTGTCAGCTAAATGCAAGACTGAATGTGTTATAGCTAACGTGAGCCATGGATAACGTCTCGTTATGTATCAGTTAACGTGTCAGCTAATGTGTCAGTAAATGGCGTTCCTCTGCGTGGCCACGATGTTATTCCGTCCACAGCGCGCGGTCAGTGGCCCGAAGGCACTGTCAGAGTTTCTGCTGTTTATGAACCACTCAAAAACTGCTGTCGCTCAAAATACTGACTTCTTTATTCAACCTATACTTGTATAAGTACATTCACTGGTGTGTTTTGGTTTGACTGGAACCATCATTCTGGTGGAGAGGTAAAATAATCACCATTTTAAAATCAGTAGTGGCCTCATGTGCAGACTGCCACTGCCATAGAAATATGGATTTATTTTTCTCCCTTTTTGTTTGGGACCACCAGCAGAGTTAAGTGCCGCCCATGTGTGTTTGAGCAGGGATACGTTATGACCTGACTTAGACTTTGGTACTAAATTGCTATGATTCATTGCACATTAAGTGCCTCATTTTGGTTCAGTGTCACGTGTGTTTGCACATAGTACAGTCCTTTTCCCAAGAAAGCCTCCCCTAGTCTCAAGACTTTGAGGAGAGGCCGGCGATTGGAATTATGCCACAGTCATTGAATGAGTTTTTTTTCTTACTACACTAATATCATTTTGTTGACCTGCTATTTCCAAATGCAGAGGAATCTGGTTAGTTGATTCCCTGGATTAGAAAATCAATTGAAATGTGGCCTAATTTGAGATTGCAGTGCAACTACTGCCCTTTTGTCAAGTGCAAATCGTTAATAAACACCAATCGCCCCTTTCTTTGTCTCTCCGCCCACTCATTAATTGTGTTGCAAACATGAATTTCAACCAATTTGCACTGACGGTGTATGTGGGTGTAAATTGACCTGTTCCATAATGCAAGATAGACATTTATCCAGTAACTGAAAGCTTTAACATTTGACAGCACAGCCCATTGAATTTGACAATGACGTTGCCGTAAATTGGCTTTTAAAGTACGTTCGTTATTTATCCAGGACGGTCAGCACAGAACAGTTTGTTTACATTGCAGGTCTCTGAAGGAGGGCGCGAGTTCTTTGTGTGGTGAGTGGCCACATGTTTGGTTATGAACCGTACTTATATCACTGCCTGTCACTTGCTCTTCTCTCGAATCAATGATGAAAGCTCCTGTCCCTGTTGTGTGATGAGTGGTGTTGTAAGCTGGCTTCATGTAGAGTGTGTGAATGTGGAAATATGCAAACTTTTTTATTTGGAAGTTGGAATTTTTATTTATTATTGTACGTATTTACGGTTTTCGGATAATATTTTCAGGTTGAATGTAGATTCGTGTCAATTTAGATTTTGGTATTAAGTATATTTTAAGTAAGTATATTTTGCATTAGTTGGTATAGTATTTAGCAAATCTGTGAAGATAATTGCTCACACTTTAAAAATTCCAAAATGTAATAAGTTTAAAGAAATCTTAAATTGCTTTGGTAAAATAGCAACAATGAAATTAGCTGATATAAACTTGGGTGCAATTCATGTGTTTCTTGAAAATACTGTACGTGTGTATCTGTTAAATTCTGGTAATGGATTTGTCCTGATCGTATTAATAATGTTAAATATTAATTTTAATTTGGCAACGCAAAATCGAGGCAAATGCTGTGGGAAAATGTGGTAAGCTGAAAGAGGTGTTACTGTACTTACAGTATTACTGTACATTTGTTTCGATTCTCATCTTGGCACAATGCTTCAACCCTATTAGAATAAAAAATCAAGATCTTGTGTTGGTATTAAGACTCTTAATGTTTATGAATTATCTTGGTAATGTTAGGTATAACACAGGCATATGCAGTGTCCAAGGTATTAGGCAGTATATTTATCTGATGATGTTTGACTGTATAATGTCATACAACCTTCATGTCTTGTTTTTTTCAACGTGAAACAATCGTGGTCTGGCGGCACAATTAAGTGTTTCACATTCATGTACTGTGTGCAGTATGCTAAATGAAGTGGACCTACGCAAATATATAAAACGCTGAAAAAAATCCCTACGAATTAGCCTCATCTATGTCAATGATGTAAACACTTAAGGCAGACATTTATTTGCATCACAATATCTGCATTGCTCATTAGGCTTCTAGCTTATAACTCTACTGTGTTGGGTTGTGTGTAGCATGGACAATATATTACTTGCAACCATTGGCTTAACGAAGGGCGTATATGGTTTTGGTGCCAGTTAGCGCTGTAGTGAAGTGCTCAACTCCGAATTGGAAAATTATGAGCTCACACCTGGTTTCGGGGGGTTGTTCGGCCCATTATCCCTACAGAATTCATAAGACCGTTACTACTTTGTGGGAAGACAGCCATGGTTGCTCTATGAATTTATTAGCCCTGCCATAGGAATGTGCAATTCAACTACTATTTGATCTGTCAACAAAGATTGGTATGACTTGGTACTCATTTGAATCTAGGCAGAGACTTAATTGTTTTTTTACCCCAAATATAGATTGAAAAACATCACAAGCAATAAATACGCAGAGCTCTGTTGGATGAAACAAATATATACTTTTCAAATTTGTTTTCTGCATCTTAGGTACAGGATTGCTCACATGGTGTCCTCCTTTGATCAGCAGACATGTTGGGTTATGTTGACTTGACTATAAATGTTAGATACATTTTCTTGAGATGATGAAAATTAAGAGCACTTTTCTGGTCAGCTGTTATCTTTAAATGTCCCCGATATCATTTGGTACAAGTGAACCTGTACATAAGACTGTTGTCCAACCTTATTCATAATATTATGCTTAGCCTTGACATGCGTTCATGACTATAGTTTGTTTAGCCAGTGTTTTACGTTGCATTGTTTAATTTAGCGGCTGAGTTGAAAATGTCACCGGATAGTTTGCGTGAACTGGTGTAAAATGGTTGTCTTGTTTTCAATCGGCACTGTAGACATTGACGTGTATTTGAGCAGTGTTGCCATGGCGTTGGGCCCTCATGGAGGGATTACTAATGTGGAAATTCTATGTTTAACTACTAAGGAGAAGCTGAATGCAATTCCTTGTTGTGTGGCAATGTTATTCATAAATTTGGTGTGTAACCTCCCTTTATAACGTTTATTTCCTTCCCCAAGATGTATTTTAAGATGCCCCTCACATTTTATATTTGTATGCTGTAATCGGCACAGTTTGTGCAGAGTTCGAATTTGCCATTGCGTGGACTTTTAGTGAACGCAAACATGCTGGCCGATCTCGCATTGTTGCTGAAGTATTGCACTGCTAGAGTATTATTTGAAGAGGTAAGAGGTCATGGGACCCATTGATGTCAATACTACTTGTGAAAAATGCAAACAGGCTGAATGGTTTGCTGGATGACAAGTGCACGAGGACACTGGCTGGAACCTGGCCAAGCGGACTGCCCCGTGATATTGCTTAGTGATGTCTGCATTATCCTTGACCTGCAGTCTGGTTGGTTGGAGGTAGTCTAGTGCAGTCCATTGTGGAACTGCAAAGTTGTCTCTGGATCTGTTCAGTATGACACCTTACCACTGTGTCACCTTCAGTCGTGATTATTAGTCGATGGGTGTACTGCATCGGCTGGAAGTCAAATAAAAGTGACCTGTGCCGTGCTGGGAAGGTAATGTTGCTGTGTGCACAACTTTGTAATGACTAATTAGCACAGTCAGCGTTATGTTGCAGAATTAGTTTGGATGGCAATTGACTTGTGTAGTATATTTTACTCTTGGGCTTGATACAATCTCAACAACAGCTGTCCACTAACCCACAGGTGCAGTACTGAATGTGGAATTGGGAATGAAAGATTTATGTAGGTTGTTAAAACCTACATTTTCAGCGGTCGGA